GACTATTATTTTTTAAAATTAATCATTGGTATCATATATATATATATATATATTGATTAATTAATCCAGATCGAATACTACAAAGGTGATACCCTCCATTCGTAAATGCCAATTTGAACCTCTTATCTTATTTAATAAAATCCAGTATCTAATCTCACTAAACTAACTGATTATTGGTAACATTGAGATTATTCTTAGTTATTATACCGTGTGCCTCTGCATTTAATCCATAAATCATAATAATACTGCGCTCATTCATCCAAATTAATATCCAGTTTTTTTATTTGAAGATATTGTTTACATGATCATATTTCCAAATAAAGAATATTAATATATTTTATAATTAAAGTTATAAAAAAAGATATATATTAATTAAAATTGAATACTAAATTGTGGGGTAATACACTGAAATTGAATCCGTCAGAGTAAGATAAGTGTAATTTATTCTGGCAGCGAAAGAGACAAAAGAAAGACAGTGAAAACGTGTGGGGCCATCAAAGATTTCTTACAGAATTATTGTCTAAAATTGCAGATTAGTTTGTTTTGAAGTTTGTCTGTAACTTAAAATCCTTGCTAGAATTTGAAAAAGTCCCTTTGTCAGATCCTATATAAATAAATAAATAACATTATTTTGTCACAAAAAAAAAAACAGTATCGACATTGGTTCTTTTAGGTTACCTAAATAATAATTTCCTAGAAATTAATTATTGTATTGGTATTCTCATTTCATATTTATAAAAATATCAGACTTCTATTAATTAGATGTATCACGTAAATAAAGACCCACTATATTACTCATGTTTTTTAAGAGGACTATTGTGTTTTACATAATTAAATTTAGCTTGTTTGAGGGATTGTGCAGGTAAAATTCCAAATATCAATCCTCTTTACGTTAATATGTAAACCTCTCCTAATTGCAGGACGACTTTTAAAAGTTCTTTTAAAACTTTCTCACTTTCATTTTGTGTTCCTTAAATTTAGGGGTTGTCGACGATTTTAGTGTCTTCAGATGCCATCCGATTATCTTCCTCCATCCCCTCTTCCTCTTTTTCACTCTAGATTTTGATTTTAGTGATTGTGCGGTAATTTATTTTTTTCACTTTCTCTTCTTTGGAATCCTTCTATGGTTTAACTGATCATATGGATATGTTTGATTGAATCAACCTTCTTAGTGCGATTATATTGAATGTCTCATAATTTGAAAAATATTAAAATTGTGGCGAATTTGTGAGTTTTAGCCCTGAATATTATAATTTGACATCTTCAATTCATGTTCGACTTCTTAGCCAAATAGGAGGTGCTATAATTTAGATCTACACCATAAAATTTATTGTAATTTTATTATTTAAAGGGTATGAAGATTTAACTCTCGAATAAGGAAGAAGATGAACCAAATACCCCACAATAATTTAAGCTCGATCTAGAAATTTTGCTTTCATTGATTGTGAAATAAGCTAGTGATAATGTTGGAGCAACAAATCTTTGTGCTAATCCGTCTCACTTTCGCATGAAGCATGTTGCCTTGGACTATCATTTCATCCTAGAACACATGCAAAATTGTCACACCCTAATTTAGGAGCTAAATTTTTAATAAATTTAAGTATAGAATCAAAGTTGTATCAAGGGAAAATTGAGGACTAAATTATAAAATATCGCAGTTGGCATACTGTTTTAGGAAGTTGCGAAAAATTTAAGGACTTGAACCTGAATTTACCTAGTAAAAAATTTACCCCCGATCAATATGATTTTTCCTCAAATTAAACCTCAAATCCCTAAACCCCAAATTCATCATTTCCATCAGCCACCTTTACCGCCTCAATCCGTCGCCGTCCGACCACCGTTCGTCGCTCCGAAACAACCAAGAGACTCACCATCGAACGATGAACAAAACCCGACCCTTATCTCGTCGCGAATCAACGTTGTTCATCGTAAAATTTAACGTGAAGCTTCATCGTTTTTAACTGACCTCCGCTTATTTTTCGTCGATTTCAGTCGATCAACCCAACCGTTCACCTCATCGCCTGCACCATTGGACTCACCGTACGCTCTAAACTCGACTAAAATCGTCGTGCTATTGTTGCTCCATCATCATCACTCGCCGACCACCGTTGGAGAAGTTCGTACGTTTTAAAATTCTGCAATATGTTATGTTTCATTGAAAAATAACACTTGCACGAGAATCCTAAGGTCATGATCTAGCAATCTGGAAAATTTTGTGCCGAAACGACGACCAGAAATGCCACACGCACCGCCTCTGCGTGTTGGCATCGTCAGCCAGCCTGGGGAGTGGACTGAACCGGTCTGGACCGAGCCGAGCTGCCTTTGTGAGCCATTGACTGTTGACTGATCGTTGACTTTTTTCGGCTACACCTATTCTAATATTTTTTGACGCCATGAGTCCGTTTTTTAGGTTTGTTTTGCCAAATTCGAACCCGGTAAGCTATTTTTCACTGATTAACCATCCGATTCGATCCGTTTTTCAAAATTAAGCTATGTTTCTGATAAAATTTCTATTGTTGTGTATCTGAATAATTATTGGACGTTGAATTCAAGTCAAGGGTGATCAAATGGAGTTTAAATGGTCGATCGATATGGCTCAGAAATCGATGTAATACATTACTACATGTTTCATGCTTTATGAAACATGTTGGTATTGATTTATGCATGAATGGGTATAATTAGTCACATGTATGTAGTGATCACTTCCTAAACTCGATCTGAATGTTATCAAAAAGTCGGTAACCGAATGTGACTTATATGGCTCACTTAAGGAAGTGGAAGATCAATCGGAAATAATAATAATAAGTTCAGTGATTCAATAATAAATGATTTGATTTTAAGATACATGAAATTTGATAATTTTTCTTAAAGGTTAAGTACCGGAGTTATTCGGATATGAAATTACCAAAAAGAGCATCATGGAATAAAATTATGAAAATGCCCTAGTAATGAAAAATGGCCAAAACTTCTCCGGATTGTGAAAAATAACTCTGAAATGACACACTTGACTAATTATCAGAGAAACTGTATATAATTGAATTTAAAGGAATTACTAAAATGTCTTCAAGCTTCGTAATAACTATAATAACCTTCAATGATCAAAAGAATAAAATACCATGAACGCTAAAGGAACTAGAATTCATTCAAGCCTAATTTATCGAAAGTATGAAAATGACAGAATTGAGTGGAATGATGATGATACGCTTGAAGAGTAAAAAACACAATGGATGGCTATGATAAGAGAGACGACCTAAAAACTTATGTTTTGATCCACTTGAACTTTGGAACCATTGAATTAAATTCATACTGCTCATCCTTCAAGTAGCTCTCTCTTCAAGCACTCTAGCCCCCAATTCACCGATAGAGAAGAAAGAGATAAGCAATGACCGGGCTAGACCAATAAAAGCGGATCAAGGTTTTTATTCGTTAGCTAAGCACACCTATTACATCACCTCTATTACAGAAGCAAAAGTGATGCGCCCTATTGACCAGCCGAAGAGCATTCTTATAAAAGAATGAATGGGAAGCAGACCCAGCATCTATTAATTCAATCAACATATGAAAAGAATTTGAAAGTCGTATAGCCATTTCAGCCTTACTCCCTATTCTTTCTTAAATAAAGCTATGACAAAACTAGAGTAATGTGGAATGACTTTTCCCATTCCTGTGAGCTGTAGAGTTAGTTTTCCCTTATCATCCTTGGTATTCCTCCTCTCTATGAGATGTGGGATCGACCCTACGAGCCCTTCCTGTTTCTACATCCTTTTGGATGATAAGACACGCCTATCCATGTTTTATCCAGCCTTTGCTCTACTATCAACCACCGGAATTGTTATTTTGCCTGCCCCGCTTTCCTCTCCCGCGGGAAGAGCTCGTTCGCCAAATCTGAACTTCCACTTTATCATTGATGACAGCTCTCTTCGATGCTAGCAACCCATTTGACCATTTTTCGTGTTTCTTTCAATTTCCTTACATTCTAGCTGAAAGAGAGACTTTACCTTTACTTAGAGAGGGGCAGCAGTACCACACCCTTCTGTGCTCGTAGGTTGACTCCCATACGTATCCCGACTAAGGACTCACAAACATGCACTTCCCTTATGCTTCCAGCCGCTTCACTAATATGAATAGTTTATACAGAAGGGTGGTTTTGTTATATACTCTTATGCGCGTTCTTTCTTCGAACCTTTTGGTATGTATTACCCCCTAACTATAGATCAGATCCACTAGACGAGAAACTCAATTCCGCACTACTGTTGAGTCGTCAGACTTATCCACCAAGGAGATTCGTGGAATTTATGTGGATTGCGTTGGGGCAAATCTACCAAATCTAGGCAGATAGATAGACTCTTTTCCCACTGGTAAGAGAAAGCAAGAAATAAAAGAAAAAAAATTGTTTTAAAATCAGCGCCACCTTTTGGGTATGCAGATACTTAGAGTCCTCTCACTACCAACCAGCAGACATCATCTGGTTGGGTCTTGTCGGTATCAACAACAAGAAAAAACAACCAAATGGAAACAACAACTAACTATGGCTCTTGGCCCAGACAACGCCCTAGGCTACGGGGGGATCGGAGCAACAGGGAACGCCTAGACGACGTTTTTGTTCCTAGGCTGTAGTAAGTAGATCGAGAGGTCGTTTTGCCCCCTGTCCCCGAAGATGGGTAATATATTCTCAAAAAATGTTGTTCCAATCTGACCTAGCTGGTGAGTGATCCCAGTTCGCGGAAGAGAACAAGACAACAAGCGAGCGTACCTTTGTTCGCTTCTTCTCCACCAAGAACAAAAGTTTAAGGATAACTGTAGGTCGGTGGCTACCTAAGAAAACTCCGATTCGATCCACCCCCCGGATGGGAGGCATTTACCATATCCCGATCATAAGGAGAGGTTCACCATGATGTGAGTAATTTTGTATTTTTTCCTTTTCAGAAAGAATGAAATGCATAGGGGACCATCCTTTTGCTACGGCATGCTCCTCAGATTTACGGATTCAGGCCCTACTCAGTGGTACGAAGCAGTTTTGCCCTTTTTCAGTAGAGGAGCGAAAGATTAGACCTTAAAAAATCAACGAACAGCGGTTCTTCTATGTATGTATGGCGTTCCCCCTTGACTTTCCTAACGACAGGCTAAGTGACTTCGTAACCTTTTCGTAGCGTAGTTGAATGAAGGCTACACACCGATGCTCTCTTATCTATTAGCCTAAGCGTCTTCGCTAACTCGCTCGCCTACTATACTATACCCTACAATACAAGACATTAGTAGGCTAGGCTAACTCAGCCTCTTACTTCTACTAATGTCTTATATAGTAGCGCCTTTTCCTTTTTGAATAAGCCATTCTCATTATCTTTCATAAGTCAAGTAAGCGAACCCATAGGTCCTTAGTAGCGTTGACAAAGAAGAACAACCGGTTAAAAGACAATGAATCTTTTTCTTTATATTATATATAGGCCAGCTTGACAAGCTCTTGATCTGAGGTGCGAAGAGAAATTTCTTTTTTTATGACTTATACTTATCGATCCCGACCCGGAAAGTAACCGACCAGGGCCTTATTGATGAATGAAAGAAAAGGTTTATGAGCCCTACCCCTGTAAGCCCACACCTGTGTAGAGTAGATCGTTCAACACCTGCGACACAAACCCATTTTTGACCTATTGGTCCTAGTATCATAGGCGACCGAATGGCCACCCCCTAATTACTAGACTGACCTGCTATAATAATTCCATAAACACCTAACGAAGATATGGCAAACAAATAAAGTAGCCCTATGTTCGAATCTGACAATACCATACCATAATCAAAAGGTACAACGGCCCAAGCGACCAGACTTAACATAAATGTAGCCACTGGAGCCATTCTAAAAAGGGAGAAATTAGCACTACTTGGTGAAATAGGTTCTTTTAGAATCAATTTCAAACCATATGCTAGAGGTTGTAACAATCCGAATGATCCCACTACATCAGGACCCTTTCGACGTTGCACAAAAGCCATTACTTTACGTTCATCTAGCACTAAAAAGGCTACTCTTAGTAAAAGTGGTAGAATTATTCCAAGTATTTCAGCTGGAACAGCTATGTACGTTTTCGATTTTCTATTTAATCATGATATGGCCTAGTCGACCCAATCATGATATTGAAGGATAGGACCTTTTCTTGAAAAATAAAACTTCGGATCCCAAGAAGAGTTGAAGATGGTGCAACATCGAATCATGTTATCTTACTTTGAATGGAATCTTAGCCCGCTTCATTTGCTTTATTTATTGCATAAGGGCATAAGCGAAGTCAAGGGATTTTCTTCTAACTAGTGACTGAGAGTAAGCAAGTTACCTTCATTCAACAACCTTGTGGTTGAGTCAATAACATGCTCTGGGTCGGGAATCTTTGCTCTTCTCTTTTGTATTTTCGCTGCATGCCTTCTTCTTCGTGTTCATTCGTATCACAAAGCGGGTCGACGCCAGCTATAATGGTTGAAAATAGGGGGGGCCAACCAAGACCCCCTAATAAAGCTTTATCTATATTGGAATTATATAATTGCTCCTGAAGAGTAAAATGACCAAAATGCCCCTAAAGAGTAAAATGACCTAAAGTATCTCCAAGTCATTGAATAACTAAATACCCTCAAGCACTGAAATGATTAAATCAACCTAGAATACCAAAATGACTTTATTATATGACCAAATTAAACTGAATGGAAGTACCATAAGTATCCGAATTTCAGAAACATTCGAATTATTCTGGAAAACTCTGAAGTGATCAGGTTAGACATGACTACTAAATGAACTAAGTAACCTCAATGACTAAGGACTAAGTAAGTGATTTGGATAAGTCTGGAAAATGATGATGAACTTACATTATGTATTGTCCCTATGAGTTATGAACCACGAATTAAGTACGTTGACAATTCCTGATATTGTTGCAACGTGGAAATAAAATAAAGACCATTAGAATATATGTTTGTCTCCTTAAGATCTATTCACCGATGATTCTGAAGGTGATATATGGACAATAGATGTTGGTATTAAAGAGTGAATACCCTAGAAGGGCAACGAATTGATCGGTTGACATGCATTAGTTCTGGGAGTTGTTCAACTCGAGTTAACTCAATTTTCTGATAGATCGACACAGATTGTAAATGTCCTGAATCTTCATTTCTCCCTTATCATCTCAAATCACTCCGATCATATCTGAAAACACAAGTAACTCATATGCAAAAGATTTTGAATTCCCCATTTGGTTCAATTGGACTTAAAATCCTGATAATTCAATTCATAATCATGAATACCCCTGATTATTGGTTAATGGAATCACTCTCCATAAATCTGAATCTAGAATTATTCTGATATAAAATTCCTGAACACCTTCCTGAATGTACCTGAATAAAAAAAGGGGTCATAAGGTATAAATTTTAATGGTATGTTAGATCTGTTAGTAATCGATCCCCTTTTTATAAGACCCTAATCCTAGAATCCGATCAAATTACATAAGTTTCATGTTTTCCATTCCTGATAACTGCCAAGTATCTCTGAAAAATATTTGGATCCTTTAGTGTGTTCCCTACGTATTATATGATTGTTTTATATATTTTGAAATATGTTTCACTGAAATTATTGATTTATTAGCTTATGAACCATTGCTACATGGTATGTGTTTTCTGATTATAGTTTTCACTGAAAAATATGATTGTTCTGGATTTATGGAATCATGAAATTTACTGGTTTACGAACTATGGTTTTCTGTTTTCACTGGTTACTACTTAAACTATTTATTGGAACATTATTTGGGTAGGTTAAAGGTTCAACTCTGATCAAGTTGGTAAATCCTTACAGACCTAAGGTGATCCTTGGGTAGGCTTTGAGGCCCTGAGAAACTTTATTGGGTAGGCTCTTATGCCCCAAAGCACTCCATTGGGTTAATGATGGGAATACATATGGTGTACAGGTGGAGATCATTTATATGGTTTATTTCATTGTTACGTTATGAGATTTTACTGGATCACAATCCAAATATTACAGTTTACTGTTAAAACTGATTTCTACTGGATTTTATATGGGTAAAATTCTGGAGTATGGAGGTTCAGCCCTGATCCAATTGGTAAATACTTACGGACCTAATGTGAACCTTGGGTAGGCTATCGGGCACCAAGGTATTCCTTTAAGTTGTCTCCCTTTGTTGTGTGCTTAGGGTAAGCCCTTATGGATGCAATTATGGGGAACTGCATAACGATGTTTGGTTGGAGGGTTCCACTATGGTTTTGAAAATATGTTTTAAACAGTTACTGTTTGAAAAGATTTCTATATTTTCACTGGTTTTGGTTGGAACCCTTCTGATTTCCTGAACCTGGATCTCTGAATGTTTCATCTGAACTGAAATCTTCATGCTTATTACTCGAAGAAATATCAGTTGTACCACAATTCATTCTGAAAACATGTATAAGTCTGAGTCAATAAGGAAATTTTATGACTTTTCATTTATCTTCATGTCATGTAGCATCAATTGGCAGTATTGTATTACTGAGCTTCCCAAAGCTCACTCTTTGTCTCACCTTTTCAGGTTAAAAGAATCAAACCTATGCAGCTATCGACATCAGTAAGGGAGTTCCACCGGCGTTGCTTGCGGAGTAGGGTGTATGTGATTAGGGGGATCTAGGTTGTATTTTGTCATATCTGAAAACCCAAGTAACTCATATACAAAGGATTCTGAATACCCCATTTGGTTTAATTGGACTTAAAATCCTAATAATTCAATTCATAATCATGAATACCCCTGATTGTTGATTAATGGAATCACTCTATGTAAATCTGAATCTAGAATTATTCTAATATAAAATTATTGAACACCTTCATGAATGTACCTGAATAAAAAAGGGGTCATAAGGTATAATTTTTAATGGTATGTTAAATCCGTTAGTAATCGATCCCCTTTTTATAAGACCCCAATCCTAGAATCCGATAAAATTACATAAGTTTCATGTTTTCCATTCCTGATAACTACCAAGTGTCTCTGAAAAATATTTGGATCCTTTAGTGTGTTCCCTACGTACTATATGATTGTTTTATATGTTTTGAAATATGTTTCATTGAAATTATTGATTTATTAGCTTATGAACCATGGCTACATGGTATATGTTTTCTGATTACAGTTTTCACTGAAAAATATGATTGTTTTGGATTTATGAAATCATGAAATTTACTGGTTTGCGAACTATGGTTTTCTGTTTTCACTGGTTACTACTTGAACTATTTATTGGAACATTATATGGGTAGGGTAAAGGTTCAACTCTGATCAAGTTGGTAAATCCTTACGGACCTAAGGTGATCCTTGGGTAGGCTCTGAGGCCCTGAGAAACTTTCTTGGGTAGGCTCTTAGGCCCCAAAGCACTCCATTAGGTTAATAATGGGACTACATATGGTGTACAGGTGGAGATTAGTTATATGGTTTATTTCATTGTTACATTACGATATTTTACTGGATCACAATCCATATATTACAGTTTACTGTTAAAACTTATTTCTACTGGATTTTATATGGGTAGAATTCTAGAGTATGGAGGTTCAGCCCTGATCCAACTGGTAAATCCTTACGAACCTAATGTGAACCTTGGGTAGGCTATCGGGCCCCAAGGTATTCCCTTAAGTTGCCTCCCTTTGTTGTGTGCTTAGGGTAAGCCCTTATGGATGCAATTATGGGAAAATGCATAACGATGTTTGGTTGGAGGGTTCCACTATGGTTTTGAAAATATGTTTTAAACAATTAATGTTTTAAAAGATTTATATCTTTTCATTGGTTTTGGTTGGAACCCACTAGACTCACTATTCTAATTTCCTGAACCTGTATCTCTGAATGTTTCCTTTGAACTGAAATCTTCATGCATGTTACTCGAAGAAATATCAGTGGTACCGCAACTCATTCTGAAAACATGTTTAAGTCTGAGTCAATAAGGAAATTTTATGACTTTTCATTTATCTGCATGTCATGTAGCATCAATTGGTAGTATTGTATTACTGAGCTTCCCAAAGCTCACTCTTTGTCTCACCTTTTCAGGTTAAAAGAATCAAACTTATGCAGCTATCGACATCAGTAAGGGAGTTCCACCGGCGTTGCTTGCAGAGTAGGGTGTATGTGATTAGGGGGATATAGGTTGTATTTTGTTTTATATACGAGTCTGAAAATCTGTTTTATTTCTGAATACTGGTAAATTTTACTTTTGTATTTATAAATTGATTTTATGATTTTACATGTTTTAATAAAAAATTAATTTTTTCTGAGATTATTACGGTGGGTCATTCGAGTGGCCCTAATTTGACATCCAGATTGGATCGGGCCACCCGCATCTGTATGAGGGTTACAAAAATGGTATTCTTCGCGTCTCTCATATCTCATTGATTGATTGACTTATTGATGTTCTCACAAAGCCGCTACCTCACCACCAATTCACCATGGCTACTATCAAGATTGGACTAACTCCACCTCTGTCCATCTTGCGGGGGCATGATAAGAATTCATAATGTTGTACCCTATAATGTTGTACCCTCACGTGTTTCTGTTTCTTCAAGATTTTATTGTTACAATTCCTATTTTGTAGTAATTTGTTTCCCTTGAGAATATGTCGAAGTCTGTTGCTTTTTAGTTGTATCATATAAACTTTTCTAACGGATTTCTAGCTTGTATTTTGTATATAAACTCATGTCAATCAATGCAAAAGTATCTCTAAAAAATAGTCCAAAACTCAATCTCTTCTTTGGAATCCTTCTATGGTTTAACTGGTCATATGGATATATTTGGTTGGCTCTTAATCTTCTTATTGTGATTATATTGAATGCGTCATAATTCAAAAAGCACTTTTTTATTTGGTCAAAGACAGTTTAGTATTTATCAAAGAATTTAATATTGTAGCGGATTTAATATAAAAATTTTATTTGGGTGATGAAGGGTTTAAAGCTTTGGTGATTAAAATGATATATTTCTTTAATGATTAAAATGATATATATCTTTAATGATGAAAACATCAACAATCAAAACGAAGAAGACAACATAGACGTGAGCCATGATGAGGACAACATCGTCAGGATCATCAACAACAACAACAACAACAAAACCCAATTCCCATATGTATGGGGTAAGGGGGAGGTAGGGTAGTAGGCTACCCCAACGCCAGGTTGAGAGTAGCTTCCGTGGAAGACCTCCGGCAGTCAGAAAATTAAAAATTTAGATAAAATGCAATGCATGTATAAATAAATACATAAATACATAGCTAATCAGTATTCATATGCCGTCATTAAAATCATATGTGCGTCTGTAACTGGAATTTATCCCTGCATAATAATCCCTGCGAAAGAATCTCTGCATATAGACAGAAACATAAGATCCGGCTAATTTAAAAGAGGAAACATGAAGAGAATGATACACAGAAGTCAACGTCTGCATCGTCAGGATCATCGTTGAATGATATCATATGAGAAAGGTGACATCGG